TTAGAGAGAAGTGCGGTATCTTCGAAGCGTTCGGGACGATGTGATCCATGGATCGTTCGAAGCGACGGCGAAAATCGTGGATCGACATATTTTGGAATTTTTAAGATTGTGTACTGGAATATTAAGCGTATTATTTGTATAGTGTTTCGTTCGGTAGGTCTGTAATTGTTTTCATAGTGTAAATCGTAGAAATTTTGCTTTTTTTCAATAAAAATAAACTTTGGTTCTTTATAGAATCCTTGTAAAATATTATTTTCGTAAATATTATAGTATTCTTACAAATATTTTCATAGATAAATCGTTGTCCAGGCAGACTGGACATAGGACCGCAAAGGGTTAACGATGATACACACTTCAGTCGTAAGAATTGTGAATTTCACCAATCCTTGTGTAGGTAACCAAAATGTTCACGGTTGTTTCAAGCTTTAACATTTTATTTTGCAAACGTGTATCGGCGTAAAAATGTGCAAAAAGTGGGGATCCGGAGCGATTTTACGATACTTTCACGAGAACATGAAAAATTAAAGAAAAATATAGAAATGGAGAGAATCTAATATATTCGCATCTGTTCATCTTAAGAATAATTTCAGAAGTGCGTTGCATATGTTTTCAACTGACAAGTAAAATACCTTTTCTCTTTCGTCGCTATCTCAGTTCTTCCTAAATCTCGCTACCAACCCTCCACACAGCCCAAAACAAAGAAAAATATAGTGTCGCTGAAGTAAATTCTAATACTCGCAACGAAGATCTCAGAACAATCATCTTCGACGAAATAAAGAAACGTGAATGCACATTAGTAGCTAATAAAAAGCAGCACACCTCGCCGATCCTTACAAAATCCAGCAGGAAAAACAACTAGTGTGGGTCTCGTCCTTAGGACTCAGGGTGCCTCAAGCTTTGTATTATACCCCTATCAGACCAGGTTTCTACTTTCCATCGAAACCACCAACCGAAGAACAAGCCGGAGAATGAGCGAGAACGCCCGTCCATGCTTGAACCCCAACTTGGCGGTAAGGATTTTTGCTGTTGGACTTTTACAATTTTTAGACGTTAGTAAGGATGGAAATTAACGTCTGTGTGTGAAAAATTTCAGCCCGATAAAACCACCAGTAGGCACCAGAGACGGATGTGACTAACGTCTGTGTGTGAAAAATTTCAGCCCGATAAAACCACCAGTAGGCACCAGAGACGGATGTGCAGCGGTCACCCATCTTCTTACGGAACGCCGCCCAGTGCATCTTGACTTCGGTGATCGAACGTGAACCGGTAGACATGCACGGCTACGGCCGCTGGTGGCAGGAAAAACAAAAACGAAGAAAACTAAACGAAAACTACAGCATCCCTAAAGTAAGTTCTACTGTTCGTCTTAATTAGGTATTCGTCTCCACCGAAAGAAAGAACCTTGAACGCGCATTATTACCTGCTAATGAAAAGCAGTACAGCTCGCCGATCCTCGATCGAATCCAGCAAGAACAAAAACTAATAAAGAGACAAGAGAGAATGTACAGGTGATGATGACTTAATTTCTAGAATTATCTCGATCACCATCGACAGGCACAACGTTTGCATCCTATCGATACATAGAAGAAAGCAATTAGTTCGGCATTACGACGTACCAGTTATCAGAGTGAGAGAGAGACGATTTCGACGAAGCTCGTTCGACTTGTTGCCAACGGCATCGATCAGAACGAGCAGCTGTAATAACAGTCGTTAGGCGGATAGTAAAACTAATGAAACCGTGACACGGGATACAGTTACATTTCCTACCTGATCGATTTAACGATCGATCGGTCCCCGACCAGCGGAGATCACCGATTCGAATCGCTGCGATTACTCGTCGCGCGTTCGTATCGGTGCACGGAGAGAGAAACTTGTCCGGAAATTTCGCTTTTCAATATCGTCGAGAGTGGCTGTGTATTCTACTCCGTTCGAAAGAATTTACCAGGCATTGTTGCTGTGTTGCTGCTACTGGTCCATCTGCACGGATAGAGCGCAATCGCCGACCTAAATACAGCGATGATTTTTGTGAATTTCACTTGGTAGCTGGTTGATTACGACGGTGAATTTCACGTGCACACAGAGTTGCTACGGAGAGACCACCAGTCGGTTGCAACGAGAGAGTTACATAAAGGTTTCATATCTGTTGTTTACTTTCCGGCTAATACTCTTGGGTACTTTCGCTTCGCAAATCGAGGAGTGATGGACTATTTACATGATTTTTGAAACACGCGTTAGATTTCGCGATTGTTGTTTGGGTATTTCCCGCCGAAAGTTTATCTACGTTTTCTGTTTAACTTGGACGCGACAAGTTCTCGCTTACCATCTCGCCTTTGGTTTATTAAATTTGATTGCATTCTGTGTGCGTTTTGGTTCAATTAACAATTTCTGTGTTATAATTCGGTGCCTTTTTTCACAAAGCCTGCACGACTTTATCGACTCAAAATTGTCGTAATTTTTCGGAGATGGAATGGGTCAGTTACTCGATAAATGGAACAAGGTCGTCGAAAATAACGGAGATCATTTTTAACACTAAAATTGTGTTCGATTTTCTGTAAATAAATATTGAAATTTGAGAGAAAAGAC